GATGAAGATGAAGATGAAGATGAAGATGAAGATGAAGATGAAGATGAGGATGAAGATGAAGATGAAGATGAAGATGAAGATTAAGATGAAGATGAAGACGAAGATGAAGATGAACATGAACATGAACATGAACATGAACATGAACATGAACATGAACTTGAACATGAACATGAACTTGAACATGAACATGAACATGAACATGAACATGAACATGAAGGTGTAGATAAACATAAACATATACATTAAAAGCGATAGAGACAAAGATAGAGAGGAAGAAAGTGATAGGGATAAAAAGGAAATACAACTGAAGAATGTGCGATGTTATATTGTGATGTGTTATGCTACATATGTTATGTTATTGAATCTAATGCTATTCTATTTTATGTTATGCTAAGTACTAAGCTAAACTCCCCTCCACTTAACCCATTCCAACAAATTTTATTTCAGCTCAAGTCAACTCACATAAACTATCCTTAATTTTAGCGGTTGAATTTCAACCGCTGGGCGAACACTAGTATTAATTAAAATTAAAATTAAAATTAAAATTAAAATTAAAATTAAAATTAAAATTAAAATTAAAGTTAAAATTAAAATTAAAATTAAAATTAGAATTAAAATTAAAAATAAAATTAAAATTAACATTAGAATAATAAATAAGTTTAAGATTAATATCAAGATTAAGATTGACATTGAGATTCAGATGCAGAAATCTACACATAGAATATAGTGAGCTATACGGGTAATAGGAAGAAGTTTCACTGCAGTCACGCGTGGGATCCACAAACAACCATTTTTTTTTTTTTGCCGAACGGAGGGTTTGCTTTGTTACATTATTAAAATCGGTTAATAACCAGAGGGAATAAGTTAGCATTTTTTCGATTTGGCAATTTTGAGACAGTTCTATTTGTTTAAAGGAGAATTGTTGAACTGCATCAAATTTACCATATCCACCCTAATGTCAGTAAATTAAAGCTCATCAAAAATCTTTCCATTTCGACTTGCCTTGCAAAAATACTTTGCATTAAGTGGTGTAAGGCGATTTTTTTTTGTTTTCTTCCGATCAGTGCTGAGTTAGCAAGCACTCATGGCTTAATCATACATATTAAGTACTTATTCATAGACATATGTACATAAGTATCGATATACCTACTTACTCGTTTTATTTGGTACTCGTACAAATGTGTTTTAATGTGTGTTCCACGCCAAATGTTTACTTTTCAATTCTGCATTTTTGTTCAATTTATTTGTATTGATATTTTGCGTGTTATTTATATATTTATTTATTCGGTGGGCTACACATGTTTATGCTACATAAAACATACCAGGGTGATTCACTAAGTCTTGCAAAACCTTTGCATGGTGTACCGAGTAGACGGATTAAAAAGCTTTCCCATAGGAAAACCGGTTCTTACGAGCAATCTGTACGCCGTGCAGGTATTTTTCATGGCTTAGTGAATCCCCCTATTGCTTAAGATTGATTCTTTTAC